AATTTTAGGACAAGACAATTTAATAAAATAAAATTTTAATTAAATGTCAACTTAGAATCCAATTCTAACTTCTAGATTATAATCGGGTGAATAATCAATTAAAATCAAATTTTAATTAAGTATTAAATTAGAATCCAACTCTAATTTAAATTGAATTAATATTTTAATTTAAGATAACACTCCTAAATAAAATAAAATTCAATTTAGGGTTAAATTTAATATTTAAGTTAAAATCCAATTTTAACAAAATGAGAAAAGTCATTAATGTTAAATAAAACTTTTAATTTGGGTCAAAACTAAAATTATGGGTCCAACCCATTTAGTATATAATTTTAAAAAACCATTTTATATTCTAATTCAAAACATATTTTGAAAAGTGGAAATTACACTGCTACCGGTATTTAAACTTCATTCTGCAAAAGTCGGGTGCAAAGATTATTTAATCAAAATTCAGTTTTGAAATTAATAATTAAAAATATATATCTACAAACCCTAGGCTAAATCAATTTCCCTCTTTCCATTCTCTCCCATCTCTCTCGCTACCCTGTCCGTTGAACTGTCGGAGTCCACCACCCACATCAAAAATCCATCGCCTTCATTTGCCGTAGTCTACCACCGCCCGGAGCACCGTTGTCGGTGCTGCTGTAATGAAGAGGAGATGTCACGGCGAAGATACACCAAGCCGCCGAGAAGCAGATCCACTGCGCCGCCACACATTTCCTTTCGTGAATCATCACGAGTTGCAGTGGTGAAATGACGGTGGCGGCGACGAAGCAACATCTTCACAGGAGAAGCATTGTACCAGTCAGCACGAAGTAGATTCACTGCACCGCCGCGAAGCAGACTCACTCCGGCAACTATTCACAGGCGAAGCACTATACCAGCTTGGTGTTTTGTGGTGATGGTGTAGTGTTTGTGTGGTGGTGGATCTGGCAGTTGTGTGGTGGGTTTGGATGGTTTTTCTTGTGGTGGTAGTAATGGTGTTTTACATGGTGGCTGTCTTGTGGTGGTGGTGGTGCTAGTGTAGTGGAGGCGACGATAATGTTGGTGGTGGTTGTAGGTAGGACGGCGTGGTGATGGTGCGGTGGAGGTGGCAGTTACATTGGCGATAATGTTAGTGGCGGTGGTTGTAGGTGAGACGACCTGGGGTAGGGATGTTTATTAGTGTTTGTGACTGTGTTGCAGGTGACACGGTGGTGGTCGTCAATTTTTTGGTGGTGGTATTGGTGTTAGTGGCGACGGTGACGGGGTGAGGGCGATGGCCAGTGACGGTGGAGGTGGTGGTGGTATTGTGGTGGATTGGATTGGGTGCTTGGTGTCTGTGACCAATTATTCAGTGCCTGTGACTGACTATTAATCCGTAACTTTCAAATTTGATCATTTTGAGACTAAAAAACTAATCTGGGACCATCAAATTTAAAAATATGTGACTTGTGACCTATAATTTTTTGAATTTGTGACCAATAACATAAATTGTGACCTATAAAATCATTAGATAAATTGTGATCTGTGACCTTGAAATAATTTGTGACCTATCAAAATCTTGATTTGTCACCTCGAAATAATTCGTGACCAATTAATTTGATGATATGTAACTAGTGAATAAATCTGTGACCTTAATTGTGTACACGTGACCATTAATTTTATTATTATGACTTTATTATATTCAAGTAATAAATATTTTTAATTAATTAAATAAAAACCTGATTTTTGCATTAGTTAAACTTAAAACATAGTCTTTGAATTATGCATAGTTAATACATGGTTTATGAATTTTTCCCTTTTGAAAACTTGAAATTTTGACCCATTTACAAATTATCAACAGGCCCCTCAATTACTTTAATTGCAAGAAGGCCCTCTATTTAAAATATTGCAAAATGACCCTTTTTAAATAATTACAAATCATTAAAAATCAACCGACTCTGCAACTAAACCCGATCACGGCCGTACACACCTCTACATGGGTGTGAAGCGATAATCTAGCAAACAAAGTTTGGAAAATTTTCTCAAGCTTTTATATTACAATATATTTTCTATTATATTAAGAAAAAATGTATGACTCCGCCACTCAGCTCAACCACAACCTTACTGTAACGCCCCAACTCGCAAGGATCGGAACGTCGCAAGATTAATTGTACTTTTAGCCGTAAACTTAAAAAAAAAATAGCTAAATTTTTAGAAGAAATTATAAAGATTTAATTTAAGAATTTTTTTTTTTTAGAAGAACAATAAATGGCAACATAACTCAATACAAAAGAAACTAATTCCTAATGTCTTCAGGTGACATCCATGCATAAATACATTTTTGTTACGTGAAATTCTAGGCAAGAATTTAAAAATAAATGTTGTTGTTTGACTTCCCATTTTTGCACAGTAAGTTTTAAAGTAAACTCGTTTACATAGTGATCTAGGTCGAAACTTTAAGAGAAAGTAGGGAACTTCTCATAATATAACATATCCAAAATTTAACTTTCGTTGGCGACATATTAGACGTTAAAATATTATTCAAAACCTCGCAGCGACCGATTTGGGAAGTAGCCCAGCACAGCATCATTAAGGTGTCATATAAAATTTCATAGATATTGAATTGACATGATTTTGAGTTTATTCAGTAGCAATCCATGAGGCTATTAAATCCCACTGGTTTTGTCCAAAAATCCCAAGTAACGATTGAGTTACGGATTTTTAAGTTCAATAGCAGAAACTGAAATTTTCAGAAAACAGTAACATTAAATAGTTGACATTTTTTTTTTTTGTAGACGGTGTTTCGTAAATAAATTCTAGATCACATCTATATAGTTTTAAACATGACCTATTCATAAGAAAATGTTCGTAGAAATAGTTTCATATACGATGTCCATAAAAAAGTAATTAAAAGGAAACTCAAATATTTCATAATCAATTTAAAGTTGTTAATTCATCGACTTTTCCATGTCAAATTACATCTTCAACCACCATCACCGCGCCCCGACAAAAGAACAAAATCAACATGTAAGAAGGGATTTAACCCATGAGTTTGAAACTCAATAGATATCATCGGTGCATTTCTAATCAAATTAGAAAATTCGAACCATGGATTCATACCGTCGTACGTAGATAAATTTCCTGGAAAATCCGATATCTATAGCATTATCATAACACGTAGAGTCGGAGAATAATCATTTAAACTATAGTAACGCCGAAGCACCGTAGCCGGATGTCATTCAACTTTTAACGAAAAATCAAATTTGAAAACGAAATAACACTTGCACCTCAACCTACATTCGTTTGATGCTTTTGAATCGATGAAGTTGGTTGGTGAATGTTGTTTCCCGATAGAATCCAAAGCTTTTCCTTTCTTTTTTTGAAAATCGTTTCCGTGATCAAAGTTACACCTCTTTTTTTTCTTTTTTTCTTTTTTTTTTTTTTGTGAAACTTGTATAAAAAGATATGTATGAAATGGAATAGGAATAATTTGAAGAAAATGAAAAGTCTACACTTTATTTGTCTTTAAAAAAAACAATGGAATCACCTAAGGAATTGAGAGTAAAGTGCAATTACATTTGTATTAACTATTGGGTTGTTTTATATCACATATAATATAATTAAAGGAATGTGAATAGCTTGAAGAAGACGGAAAATCAATCCCAATTTCAAGAAAAAAAACGTTGGCAGCATTTAACAATCAAAGTTACACTTTATGCCTTTTCATTTCCACTCAATTTAAAAGAACTTAAATGCATTTTAAAACAAAGAGTTTAAGTTGCATAACTTGTGATAACGTGTGTGTATATTTTTGGGATTTAAATGACTTGTCTATTCCAACTAATTAAATTAATTGTTTGACTATTCAATTTAAAGTTATTTTTACCGTGTAGTTGTTATGTGTGTGTATATAATAATATATATTTGTCATTTTAAAAATAACATGTATGCAAATTAATTTTATATTTTTTTTTCTATACATAAAATAAATTTTCACCGTCCAGTCCAATGTTTGGGAAAAAACATTAAATTATACCGTTCAACTTCATCAAATAATTTTTAATATCGTGGCTGAACCTGGGTTGCGCGTTGAACCACCATAAGATTGTAAATAAATTCATTTTAAAACATATTGGACTAATATTGAGCCTTCATTTCTTATGTGGATCGAGCATGAGGTTCATCTATAGGTTAGGCTCCTGATGCTAGATCGTTACATTAAAATATGAGCCTAATTTCATTTTATTTTTC